CATTACAGCTTGCTGCTTTTGAGGCAAGTATAGTTACAACTGGCAAAACAAGTACCTCTATACTACGTGCTACTACAAATTACTACCAGAGAGCAAATGTATTTCCACAGCAGCAGCAATCAATATTAGCAGCAAGTCTGTATTTCAATATTACAAATTATTGCAGGATTACCACTAGTAAAGCATAAAATATCCATAATTACTTACATGCCGGCCTTTCTACATATATAAAAATATTTTTTTAAAATGTTATTGGTACCAAATGCTCATCAAACTGATTCCAGCCAACTTACTTTTCTCAGGATGTCTTCTTTCATTTTGAGACTTTTTTTTCACCTTTCCAGATGATAAGTTGTTGTGACAGTTCTTTGGTTTTGCACTTATCACTGGTATCTCAGGATTACTTTGGTGTCATGGTTTGGGGTTAGGGACACCCCCAGACCTGTGACTGATGCTCTCTGTTAACCCCTCTCCCCCACCCAAAGAGGAAGAGAAAGGGAATAAGGGAGACAGACTTATCAATTAGCAAAGAAAAGTAAAACAGCTTTAATGAAACTACCACTACTAAAATGGAATATATACAAAGCCAGTATTGAACCCAACTCCCCCCGATGGCAATATGTCACCGTCACCCCCTGCTGGGGAGCAGACCCCAGGGAAAAGTCCCAGGCTGGACTCAGCCGCGGATGGCGACTGGATACAGGAGCTGGATCCTGGAACTAAGTTCAGGAACACATGGCTTGGGATCAAAGGCAGGATGGATGAAGTCCTCCTGGGATGCCAGCCACTGCAGCAGGAGCAGCAAAAGAGAGGAAGGGAAGGCTTGACCCTCCTGATCCTTCACTTTATACTGAATATGAGGAATATGGGACAGAATACCCCACTGGTCAATTTAGGGTCACTTGTCTTGTCCACTCCTCCCCGCAGCTGCAGCCTTTACTTTCTGCCCCCCTCAGTGTGGTAAAATGCTTTAGCAGTGACCTTGGTGTACATACCAGTCCTCAGTAGTAACTCTAAACACAGAGCGTTACTACTGCTAGAAGCACACGCTGTCTACGAAAATATGTTGCTAGCTTCAGAAAGTGCAGTTAATTAGAAGAGCTTTAGCTGAAGTAAAATCACTGAACAGAATTAGTTCTGTTCTACCCCAGATCAAGACATCTGGTTTCTTGGTATCCAGCTGCACTTCAAAGATGCCAGCTGCTCTCCTCAATGATGCTTCTGGTTCCCAGGCCTGGTTCCTAGGCTGGCAGGCATGCTCTGTCAGTATTTGAGCAGAGATCCTCTTCTGTACAATATTTTCCCCTTTATAACCAGGTTGCCTTTATGGCTGCTTCCATCATCAGGCTAAAATGATACCTCTCAGCTAAGCAGAAATTATCAGCTGCAGGGAACACTGCAGAATGTCCAGTGTCCAGAATGTCCTTTTTAAGTAGTCCTGTTTGTGAAAGTATCTTTTGTATAGCTACTATTAGTTGCTCAGGAACAGCCCAAAAGTGACTGCAGTAGCTTGGCTTCTCCTTCTGCAACACCTGTTTGGGCTAAACACAACCTACAGCACACCATCACACTTCTGCTCGGGAGACCATGCCATAAGCAAGAACTTTGCAGTTATGGCCTCGCTTGGGCTTCCTCCTGTTCTCCATGCTGGCCAACCCCACCCACACACCTGCATTCTCACAGTCTGACTGTGGACACCATCAGCTTATGAGCAGGAGTTCAGAGGAGGACATGGATCATGCAAAAGCAGGGAACCAAGGCTGAAGCCTGTGTGAGCCCAGACATACAGGCAGGCTCACCACTCCCAGCCTGCAAACCACTGCCAAAAGATTTAGAGGAAAACCTGAACCTGGAGCAGGCATCAGGCTGGGTTTTAATTTGCTGCAGTGTTCAGAGATGAAGCTGTACTTGTCACTGTGCTACGGAATGACCAAGAACCAGAGAGGGATTACACACAAAGCACCCAGTCTGTCTAGCCCACGGTCCCATTGCAAGCCTTTCAAAACAAACCATTGCACTGAGACAGTGACCTCAATAACTCAGATCTGGAAACAAACTTCCTATGGCTGTTTCACATCCTTTGGTCCTGTTCCCCAAATGCAATGCTTGTGTTGCTTGCTAAAAAAAAAAAAGTCCTCAGCAACAGGCTTTCAGCATAAATTTAAAGGGAAGTGCTTAATTTATTTTTCTGGGATTAAGTCTTAAACAGATTTTCAGAGAATAGACTGTGGAAACTATCACATGACCAGTTATTGGTTAATAAGGCAACATTGATACTATGACATACAAGTCATACTTCCAAAGATAAAAATTATATTGCCGCATTTAGTTTAGTGCTGGATATCAAGATTTTGCAAGAATTTTAAGCCCGAGTCAAGCACCGTACTTAAGCGGTCACACCGATTGAAGTGCCCAGGCTGGGTTCTCTTGACAAAGCACTCCTGGTGCTAGACACAGATATCCACCTCGCAGAGACAGAGTGAACTTTGCACACACATAACAAGAGCCATTCTTTCCTGGTTCCAGTGTGTGCTGGTCTCTCCCAGGGTGGCTGCTGAGCAGTGGCAGCAAGGCAGCCTCCTCCGCTGCCAGTGCTGCCAGCGCTTGATCACACTTCACTAGCAGAAGTGTGATATCCTTTCATTCTGCTATAAACCACGCTCCAGCGTGGATTAAGGACAGAAATTTCATAAAAAATGTCAGCTTGCCAAGATAATATAAATCACGTGACAGCCCGGCAATCTAAACACAGCCTTATGTCTCTGCCCCAGCCTCAATCAGATCAGAGAATGAACTGCAGGACTTTCAGATTCGTGTATTATGATGCAAATGAGTTTTCTAAATTGTGACCTAGTTCCCATGTTAGGAACAGTCGGGATCAACAGCAGGAACTATGCGATGAATGTGAGCAGCAGGGGGAAACAAGGAAATTAACATTTGTTCTTAATTTGAAATGGATTTTTAATCACTTTCAGGTGCCTCAAAGAAAGTGCACACACTTGTTTACTATAATCATTCTGACAGAAGAAGGCATATAGGAAGTAACAGGTTTTTGTTTTACTAATTGAAATGTTTGCAACATTGGTGTCAGATGAAGAGCCAGAAAACAGCCCTTTCTGGATGATTTACTGAGTGCACAATGAAGGACTGTGAAATGAAGTTTTCCAATGGGTCTGTTCCTCAGAACTCACTTTGTAAAGAAAATGTTGCATGAATCCTCTACAAGATCCTAGACATTAGACCACATCCACCTCTCCCAACTCGACTGCCACTTTTGCATCCAGAGGGCTGACACACCAGCTCTCCAAGAGCCTGCTCCGGGATTGAGCTGCGTAGCTGTCAGCCACTCGCCTACAATTCAGCACAGTTAGTGGAACACACAAACCTAACCAAACTCTGTGTGTGCTGGAGGAGTGACCCTCCAACCCCACACCGTGCTGACCTCCAGCCTGAGGCTGCCTTCTGGTAAATGCCACTGTTTTAAACGGGGGCATCAGCAAGGATGTAACTGGTTGAAAACCAGAACAATTTTCAGCCTAAGCGTATCTGGAGTTGGTGTCATCATTGGATACTGTTAGCTGTAAACCTGCTGGGACATCGACTCTCCTGAAAAATAGAATCTCAGCTCCCTCTGGTGGGAAAAGTAATTTTGAAAACAGTTGGCGTGAGGCAGTTGTTTCTGCTACAGACCTCAAGGTCATCAGGTAATTGAGACAGTAAACAAATCCCAAATCCCCTGTTCACTTTGAAGGACTGGAATTTTTTAGAAGTTGATGTGAAATACAACTCATAGACCATGGCAAGTTGGCTGCACAAGATACAACACACTCAAAAGCTTCCAGCTGTGAAAGGTGGCCAAGAGAATTTACACCTGGGGAAGATGGAGGCCAAGATACGTAAGGCTACTGAAGCAAACAGTAACCCCAAGGAAAACAGAACAGACACCAGGTTTTAATATTCTTTCCACCATAAGCAATTCCTCAGCCCCAAGGGAAGCATGCTTCCAGGGCATGTGTGGGCATGCTCCCACACATCTAGGGAGCGTGAGAGGGTAAGGTCAGCATCTCCAACACATCCAAAGTGAGGAAGTCTCAGCTGTATATTGAAATCTGCCAACAGAGCAGTGTCACAAGTAGGAGAAGCACAAGGCAAAGCCCTCAGATCCAAGCCTGTGTCCCTTGGTCTCAGACACTGCCTAGATTAATCTAACCACCCATCAAAAGCTCTCCTTTTGAACTGCATTGCAGCTCCAACCTCCTGTTTTGCAAGGCTTAGTGAAGAATCCATCACTAACACCAAAAAATTCTTCTCACTAGATCAAGGTGCTCCTAGTCTACAGGTGTGTTAACAAAGGGACCCAGCTTTCTCTCTGTGCTTTGCATCAGCCCAGGAACAGCAACAGGCTAGCAACATTACCATTCACCTTTGCCTCCTTCACAGCAAGATTTCCACCACACACACACTAGATTTATTTAAGGTTATTCCATTCTTTCTGATCAAAACCAATCATTCAAAGTATTTCTACTTCTCCTTATTCATTGTGAAGAGCGGAAATTAATTGCTGGAGGTATTCTAGCTCTTGTCACAAGAACTCAGTGACCAGAAAGAACGTTTTTGTTTCTCATTAGAGGATTCATCAGCTCCACTGTGATTAAGCACGCAACTAGTTGCTCTGAAAAATTCTTTGTAGCTCGTGTAAACAGAATCATAATTCCTGCAGTCACAAACACACTAGGATGACCTTTTATAATATTTTGGGTCTGAAAACAGCATTTCACACTGCCACAGAAGGAAAACTTAGAGATGCAATGAAAGGAAAACAGTAGCAAAAAAGTATTTATTAAACAACACATCATTGAGTTGCACAGTGTGGGATTAAGACCCATACTGGATCCTTGGAAACAGCAGAGCTGAGTAACAGATTTTTCTCCAAGAGGTACGTTTTCTACTCGCTGAAGTGCCCATATATTTAACTGGAAGTCTCACAATGACAGCAGCTCCATCTGCTTTGCTTATTGACTAGGGAAGTGACCTCTTTCAATCTTCTGCACAAATACCAAGTCTGCTTATGTAGCTCTCCCAGGCTGCCTTCCTGTACTTCTCTGCTTCTCGAAGATGGTCCGAAGCTGACAAGATGCCACGTCCCACAATGATGATATCTGAACCTTTTTCACCAATAACTTCTTTGGGGCTTAGGTACTTCTGTCCAAGGTTATCACCTGAAATAGAGACACCATTTTTTAAGTTAATACAAGACTATCTACTAAAAACCTTGAATGAGGTGCTGGAACAGAGAACAGGTATGGTGTTCCAGCTCTCACCCTAACAGTCCACAAAACTGTGTCTCCAACTAACAACCCCCCCATGGCAGATAAAATCCAACAGAGCACACTCTCCTTTTTCACAGTTTAACAATCACAAGAGATGGGACACTTACACAAAGAAGAACCAATCAGGATTACTGACATAAGCCTTTGCCTTCTTAAAACAGACAAAACTCTCAAACTTTCAGGTAAAAGCTTGGGATTTTTTCAGGTTTCGCAGGAATTAAGTACTGCAGAGAAACACATCTCCCCTGCCTGGTTCAGTTATAACCTGCTTAGTCAGTGCAAGACTTCCAATTCACTGATACTGCACCTGTATCAGTATCAACAGTGTTACAGTTAGACTTCTGTATTCGTTACAAATCTTTTTTTCTACTACTACTGAGTAGTTGTAAATTGTCTTCAGACAGGTGTTAGGTTAGATATATGTGTCTTAAGGACTGTGCTTTGTGGTAAGCACAGACCCCTGCACATGAACAAAGCCGTGTAGCCTGCTGGCTGCCTTTCAGAGCTCCTAGGAAAGGGATCAGAGCAACCAGTAATAAAGAGGGCAGCCCATAGTGGCAGATTCTCCACCAGACAATCAGCAACCAAACCCCTTTCAGAAGCCACTCTTCCACTGAAGTCTACATCACTTACTGTACCTACACACAGACTATATGACAAAAGATTACCTCCAGTTTGTAGCTGCACCCCTGGAGTTAAGTGAAGAAATTCTGGTTTATCACTAACTCTAGATCCAGATATGAATCCAAAGACGAAATCAGAGTTGTCTTCAGCCATCTGTACCTGAAGGAATTAACAGTATCAGTAAACAGTTACAAGCAATATACCTAAATCTAAGCTTGGCTAGTGATCTGTTTCTCATCCACACTTCCATGCCAGGCAGGGGTATGAAACATGATTTTCCTTTACCAGTATAAAGTCAACCACCCCTCGCTGACCCTGCTGCAACTGCAGTCAGGAATGTGAATGCTATGTTTCTTTCTATGTTATAAGTAATACAAGGAATTAATTTAATTGGAAATTTATTGTTTAATGAAAAAAAAAAAAGGGGCAGGCTAATAGCAAACTTGAAAAGTTTACTAGAATTCAGCATGAACTCTGACCACCTCACACAACTAGCCCACACCTGCACCTTTTAAACAGCACACTGAGATTCCCAAGTCTCCACAGGGGAAAAAACCCAAACTTTTAACATAGGTGGAGACACTGTTGGAAGTGCAAATATTAGAAACCTCTCTGTCATAACACTTTACAAGCTTTTAACCTGAAAGGAGACTGCCTACTTACTGCAGCTTTCGTGTATTCACCCGTTGCAAGGGACCCTTGGGAGCTCATCTCAGCGACAAGAAGACAGCCACGCTGGAGGGGAAGACCTACTTCCTTCAGACCTCTCACAACTCCAGAGCCTGGAACCACGTGGGCATTAATGATGTCCGACCAGGACACGATTCTGAACACACCACCTGAGAACATGGGCAGGAAGACACAAGCACAGTGTCATTAGACATGTATTAAATGAGAAGCATGAGTTACACAAAACAAGCTGCACAACAAATCATTCAAAAGACAGTTTTACTGCTGAAGCAGTTACAAGTTCACTCTCGTCAGGCAGTTCCAAAGGCTGCCTAACCACAAAGTGAAATCTCTCAGTTTTACCTTTCACAAACACTTCTTAGTGTTTGTCACCTTTTAATCACAGAGACATTTATGGCAACCTAGAAATCCACTGCCACAGGTGCTACCTTTCAATACAGTATGCAGCTCAGACAGGACATGTGGATGAGAAGAAGAGAAAAATGGTTCTACAGTTGCAGATGCAGTATTGAAAGAAAGCCATAACGAGCACACGAGTGTTCAACAGCAGACTGCGTTAAGAACCCACACTGCATTTTCTTACGGCAAACAAGCAAAAGTACTTGCTGAGCACAACCACAGACTCATAAAAAGAGAAGGGACCTCTGGAGGTCATGCTCTTTCAGCAGTGTTAACTTCAAAGCTACATCACGTTGCTCAGGGCCTCGTCCCCTTGAGTCTCCTCCAAGGCTGGAGATTTTCCCCTCTGACAACATGTGTCAGCACTGCAGTTGCACCAGCAGAAAAGATACAGTAAATTGAGGTTGATGATAATCACCTTCATATTGATGTTTTACTGTGTTGCCAATGTCTGCAAATTTCCTGTCCTCAAAAATCAGGAATTCATGTCGATCTGCGAGTGCTCTCAATTCCTTTACTACCTCTTGGCTGAAATCATTCAGGATGTCTATGTGAGTCTTCAGGATACAGATGCTGGGGCCCAGGGTGGCAGCTAACTGCAGCAGCTCTTTAGAGCTGGTGACATCAGCGGAAAAGCACAGGTTGGTTTGCTTCTTCTCCATGAGGGTGAGAAGCCTGGCTGCAGCAGGATGGACCCCTGGCAGCTCAGCACGAGCGCTGAAGCTCAGCTCTCTGCGTGGGCTCTTCACAGGGGCGAGGCCGTTCTGAGCCACGGGCTCAAACATGTTTTCCTGAATGAACTTCTTCACGTTTTCAACCATCTCAACAGCCACTTCTCCTTGCTGCTGGAGAATCTCCAGCAACCTGGACAATGTGCACACAGAGTGCAGGCGAATCCCACGTTCCTCTAGCCTGGCCTTGCCACCCTGCCCTCTGTCCAACAGCACTATGGCATCTGTGACCTTTAAACCTTCCTTCTGAAGAACTTCTGCAGTTTCCAGTACACTAGATCCACTTGTTACCACATCTTCAATGATCAAGCATGTTTCTCCTGGATTAATGATGCCTTCTACCATCCGCTTAGTACCTTAGAAATAAAAAGCAAACATTCCACTAAATGAACAAACTTTAAAAGACTCCCCGAAAATCTTTAAAGTATCAAAACTTTAACTCTCCATGCTAATGTAAAGATCAGATTTGTTCTCCATATAAGCCTACACTCCAGCATATCCTGAAGTCCAATGGAACGGGACTTCAAGAGAACAGGAGTTTCACATTCGTCGTGGGTCTGGAAAGGTAACTTTTTCAGTTATTACCTGACACCAGTTACCATAGTTCTTACCACAGCTCAGCCACCAACTTCTAATTCCATTCATATGGACTGTTACTTTTTCAAGTTAATAAAATATTTATGTTTCATTACTAAAACTGGTATAATGTTAACTGCACAAATTTAAAGCTTTGGATGACTACAGAAGTTTATTATTGCCATGATCAAAACTACAAAACCATTTTCTCCAGTTACTTGAAACTTCTTTAAAGCAGTCAAGTTACTGGTACTGTTCAGCACATATCCCATTTTCCACAGGCAGCATTCTGTGCCTGTTAGAACAATTAGAAGGAGTAAAACCCCAAATGCCTTTGTGCTAAGCAACAACTTCCATGAAAAGCCTCCCCGGGGGCAGCAACAAAAGATGCCCAGCTTTCTCAGGAAGCAGCAAGCAGCAGGAGAACATTATGCAGCCAGGCCGGTGCTTAGACCATGACAGCCTAGGGAGCAACCTTGTGCCAGGCAACTAACTCACTGCTGTCACAGCTGCCTTGTCTTCAGGAGGAACTGCAAACATCCTCATGCCTGGCACACTTGACTAACACAAAGATAACGTTTAGTTTTAACATGCACACTTTCTAATTAAATACTGTTGGGAGAGGATAGGTCTAGTATCTATCTAGTAGCACAAGTAGAAATCCAGTTGCTATATATAGTGCATTAACACTTCAGTCTACTCACCCCATTCCCTTATAAATAAATGGTTCATCTGGGGTAGAATTGTTTCTCACCTGGTCCACCCTGCCCACTGATTACTGGACTACAGGATGTGAAAGAAAAAAGGGGGTGGAGAGGTAAATAAAGAGACCAGAAACGTTCCTCTTGTAGTCAATACACAAAAAGTTCTGTTTGGGGGTGAAACGTGGCACTGGTCTCAGCATATCAGAGAAACTGAGCTATAAATCTTCATTTCTGAAAAAGGACAGTAACTCAGAACCATAGGAATAGTGCCAAGGAAGAAAAAGACATTGCTTAAGAACGGAAGCAAACAAAACCCACCCCACAAACAAACAAACAAAAACCCCAAAAGAAGAAAAAGTGCCCCCTGCAGAAACTCCATGCCCACTATAGCAGGATTCAAGCTGCAGCCTCACCAGCAAGCAGCCGGTAGAGCCTGGTCAGGCTGGGCTGCTGCGGGAGGTACATTTTAGAGGGAAAAGGGAACGCTTTTTTGCATCGAGTGATACCCTTAAACTGGAACAGAGACACACGCGTTACAAAAGGGCCCTAAAGATACAAAGCCATCTCCGAAGCAAGGCAACGAGCAGGCCCTAGCTGCTGCCCCGCAGGCCTCACCGTAGTCCTTCGCCTCCTTCCGCCGTATGAGCATGGGAACCTGGTGCTCGGCGCAGAGGATGGTGGCCAGGGGCAGCGCCGTGTACGGGACGCCGCACACGCAGTCGTACCGGAGCCCGGCGGCCGCGGCCGTCCCGAAGAGCAGCTCGGCGACCTGCGGAGGCAACCCGCGCGACCGTTAAGGCCTGG